GAAAGGGAAAGGGAAAGGGAAAGGGAAAGGGAAAGGGAAAGGGAAAGGGAAAGGGAAAGGGAAAGGGAAAGGGAAAGGGAAAGGGAAAGGGAAAGAAGGGGAAAGGGAAAGGGAAAGGGAAAGGGAAAGGGAAAGGGAAAGGGAAAGGGAAAGGGAAAGAAACCCTGACAGCAGGACAAGCAGAACGGAGCACGCACTGAGCAGAAAAATTCAGGGACTGTCAGCAGCAGATGGTATCTATAAATCCTATTGACATTTCAGATTCTAATCCGCTCCCCATCTGAAAGCCCAAGCAGCAGTTAAAAGGCACTTAGGGAGATGTTGCCACATCCCGAGCCGCTGACCTCCCATGCCGGGACAGCCCCCGGACAGGGGCAGCGGGACCCAGCCCGTGGGTGGGCGCTCAGCAGGGATGCGCAGGGGCTGAGCTGGCGGCAGTGACAGCGCCCATCGCRGCCCCAGAAGTGACACAGGTGACACTTTTCCAGGCTCTGCCTCCGGGACAGCGTTTCCCCCCCCCCCCGCCTCTGGCTCTGCAACGCCACGGAGCCCCCGGGACCTCAGCGTTCCTAAACATTTACTCATGGAGAGCCAGAAACATCCTCCCGGCAAATTCCTTGATAAAATAAACCGTGAAAATGTCACAACTGCCTGGGGGAGCCATCAAATAGCCCCGGCAGGGGAAGAACGGTGGCTGTGCCCAGATCCCTGTCACCACCCCCATCCTCCTTCTGCTCCTGAGCTGAGCAGGGCTGGGCAAGGCACAGCTGAGAGGTGCTGGGGTCCCGCTGTGCCCCACCCACACGGACAAGGACAGCAGGGAACTGGGGCAGGAATGATTTTGGCCACCCCTGTGAGGTGACCTGGGGGAAATAGAGCATCAATGTCTGTGCCCAGCTGAGCCCATGGAAGGCCTATGAAACACCAGGTGAGTTTGGGGTGAGTTGCAGCCCCCAGATCCTTTTCATCCTGCTTCCACAGGGSCTATGTCTCTGCTTCCCATCACACACCTCCCTCCGGGGCTGACCGACAGCCCGGAGATAAGGCAGGGAAGGCGAGGGAAGGAATGCGACCCCCTGGATCATCCTCCTCCACGGTGATAAATCACCTTGCAGACTAATGGCTCCCTGGGCAGGGGAAGGCCCACCCCGCTCCTCACCCCCCACCAAGGCTCTGGCTGAGACTGGGAGCCCCAAATTGCAGCCGAGTTCCTGGCATTCCTGCCTCGGAATGAAGCTGAGGGGGCTCCGGCAGCAGTGACCACCCTCGGGGCAGGATTCGGTGGAGGGGGGATCGGGGCAGGATTCGGTGGAGGGGGATTGGGGCAGGATTC